ATTAATTTTCAACAACTTTGTATAAATTCTAAGAATAAATAAGATTGATGATAATGTATACTACATATGAATAACTATTTTACACATATAAATTTAGAATTTATCAAACAGTTGTTTAGTTAAATTTTTAACTAATTAGATCGTTAAAATTAATAACATTTTTGTTGATATTTGTAATTATATTATAATATATAATTATAGCTCAAATTTAATTGTATATATTTACTAGATAAAATTTAGATATAACAAATAAATTACACTATACTATATTTTTATTGCATTTAATTAGACAACATTAAAAATTTAATAAATACCACAGAATTATCATGATGTTTAAATATTTTAAATATTCTTTAATGAAAACTTAATTGTGCAAAGATATAATTTAGTTATTTTGTTATTTAAATCAAATAACAAATACTAATATATTATTGCTAATACCCGCAAAACTTATAAGTACTTAAGAATATTTCAAAATATAGTACCATATGTATAACATGTTTCATATAATAAATTCTCAAGTGTACACGTTTTTGATGAACAAAGTTGACGTGACATCAGTTGGCCGTTAGAAACGGATAAATAATGCCTGAGACCGAAAAGTCCTTTTCGAGCGTTTGTTATGTCCACTGACACATTATAGACATGGAGAGGGATGGCCATGAGATAGAAAGTGAGAGAGTTGTGTAGATTTGTAACGTTAACGATGAACGTAATGCGAGGACACAGGGTGAAGTGAACAGGAGAATTCTGACATACAAATGAGCAAAACACGATGTGAGACATGGAGAGAAAATAACAGTAGAATGACAAGAGGAACAGTATTTTAGTTAATGGATTTCTTCAATTGGTTCTGCTCGTTGAATGAAAATTATTGATCCCGTGTCCTCGTCTTTTTTCCTGATGACAGACCTATTATATTATACTTTTAATTTTCATTAAGTAAAATGTATTGTATTCTTTCTATCTTCTTTCTATCCTCTCAACTCGTGAGATGATTCTAGGAATGACAGTTATAAAGTATTTCTGTCTTCTAAAAACCCTTTTACTTATAAAATGAAAAGTGACAAGGCAACATTAGCCCAATGTTATTTCACATGTATCTTTAAGTTAAATTTTTTTTTTAATAAGCAAAATATTTTCATAATATAAACCATGACAGTTCTTGATATTTTATTTTTATTTCATCTTTATTAAGGGTAAAAACTTACTACACTTTTATTGAATTATTAAATTACATGACGTTATTGAGTGTTAACTCTAGATCGAAAGGGGACTACGAGTTGAATATTTTACGAATGTCATTATAAAAGTAAATATGTAAATATTTTATACTTGTTCCCGTTAAGGATAACTACAAAACATTTTTTTTTTTTTTTGAATTATTTATGTAATAAATTAATACTTAACATGTGTCATACTTTGCCATATAAAGTAAGCAAAAAATAGCGCATTGATGGTGTACAAAAAAAAAGTAACTTCTGAAATAATAAGACATTTTGACAATGTTGAATGACCAATACGAAGTATATTCTTTTTCAAAACCAATGCTGACTATAGCCACAGACTGATCAATAAATTATCTGATTATAACTGAAATAATTTGTTTTAATTTATAATCGATTGGACTACATATGTAAGATTATACTTGTTGTGTGTGTAATGTTATATTATACTTTGTAAATTAAATTTAAATTTGAATAAACTTGAACATTTTCCTAATAAAATAATTTTAACACCTTAGGTAGTTAAAAAATAGTTAAACTTTGAAAAATGTATTTTATATAAGAATATTTTAATTTTGTGATAATTTAGTTTAGTATAATGAATAACAATAAATTCTATTTATTATTTTATAGTATTAAGCTTTTCATTAGAACGTATTTACTATTATGTACGCATATTATTAAATTATACCAGTTCTTTGATCATAATATTCGTAATTTGCAAAAAATAATATAATGTGTTTTACTTATGCTTAAACGAAATACATATCAAAGTATATTTCTATCGCATAATTTATACATCTTACATTATTTAGTAGTAAGCCGGAAGGTAGATTATAATAATCATTATGTTTATTTGTCTCGATTTCATTATTTAGGTTCTTACTTCAATATTTGATGTTACAAATGTTTAGTAATCATACAATATTAGTGCTTACAAAGTTCAATATTAGGGTAGTATCTAAATTCTACAGTATATAATTTACTTGGGAGGATAAACGTTGATCAAATTACAATAATTTTGTTCGATAATATTGGCATAGGTACATATTTTGCAGTCACCACTTTTATCTTAATATTCTCTATTTTTTTAGAGCCAATTTAAAAATTCAATATTTTCGTAGAAGAACTATAAAATAAAATAAGTAGAAGCAAAAAAAAAAAAAAATATATATATAATGTACGTGGGGAATTCTACAGTCTTGCTGACCTCTGCAAAAATCAATGTATTTGGCTCTGAGTGGACCAAGGAATATTAAATTTACATTGCAATATAAATACATAGGTTTTTGGTTTAGCTAGTTTATTATGCATGTGATTGGTTAGGACTTTTCTAAAAGTTACATAAACCTAATCTTCTCATCGATTGAAAATTGAGCACAACAAATGTTAGTTGTAAAGATTTTTGTTTTAAAAATGCAGAATTATTTTTAATAATCCATTAAAAATATTTAATATGATTTGAATAATATGAAATTATATTTAATTTATCAAAAGTTTATGAATTAGAATTATATTAGGTATTATGTATTAATGAATCAATTAAATTGATATATATATATATTATTTAATTATGGTTTAAAACAAAGCGTTTTTTAACCTTTATATATTCATATTTAAATGTGTCATATTCTATAAATTGTTTTTTCTGGAGAATAATATGAAAACTAATTAGAACTATTATGTAGAATGATCGATAAATTTAAATTAGATAAAGAGTTTTGAAATCAATTTCAGAGGCATTCAATTTAATAATAGAACAATTAAACAGAAATAAATAAATTAGTATCGAATTAAAATTTATCAATTTATTTTAACGCGAGTCTTCGGAGTAAAGATTGCTTTGGAATTATGAAGTTTTTATTACTCTCAATAAATCATCTGAGTATGGTAGCTAAAAATGTCTAAAAGTTTCCTTATTGAATTGGAAATTTATCATAATATCAAAACTGACACTAAATAATATGTAAGTGTTACATAGCCACATGGGATATTATACCTTTATATGGTATTATTATTCCAGCTGTTCATTATGCACAAATTTATGCATAGATAACTTAGGCGTAAATCAATAAGCTCCTTCAAAAGCTTTTATTATACTACTTTTGAGTAAGTTAACAATGGGGTTAATAATTTTACATATTTTTAAAAAAATATAGAGGAACATTATTAATCGTTATAAATTATGATACTTCCATTATTGACATTTGACATATAATATTATGTATTGTTTATATAATGTTCAAACTTACGGAATATTTTTTTTGTAATACTATATATTATAGTTGTTCAAAATTAAATATAATATAATTAATAAACGTATACACATGACAGATGGAAGGGAGATTAGAGTGCTTGTAACTTACTGAAACATTTTTTTATGATCAATATAATTGTATAGTTTATTTTAAAAACAAAATTGAGCCTTTAATTGATTTAAAAAAATTAAATAAAACAAACTAGTAATTAATTGTTTGAATATTTTTGATATTACAATTGAATATATACTATGGGTATAATATATATATATATATATATTTGGATAACATTTTAAGATAATTAAAATTATAGTGAATTTTTATAACCTTTTTTACTGTTGGAATATAGATAGTAAAAAAAATAAAATATACATTTTATATTAATTTAAAAAAAAAAGCGTTTACCTACTTATTATGTGTTAAAAACTATACTAAATAACAAAGTCTCTTCATCAAAATCTAATAAAAATTATGTAGAATAAAAAATTACGTCTGGATTGTTTTATATATTTTTTTACCGTTTTAAGTCATATGCTTAACCATACATCTATTTTATTTTTATTTATGTCAAGTATTTATGTTGCATTAGTTAATTAAACCTTATTTTGCAGTTTAGTTTTTGGGGTCACTTAACATGATTTTTAAATCTTGTACTAAACTTATTTTTATGAAATTAAAAATACATATTACATAACTACTTATTATAATAATTAATAATTAATCATTGTATGTTTTACTACATAGGTGGATCACTATTTATGGTGTAACAAGTTTTAAAAATAACTGTTAATAATAATAATACTAATAATTAGGGCCAGATTTTGTTGCAAATGCTTCTTTTGAGAAGAGTATGATAGAAAGATAATTCTTATATATAAATATGTTTTGAATAAGTTTTGATTTCAATAAAGTAAGCTTTTTTTGCTTTTTTCTACAAAACCTGCTTTTTATTGCTTTCCCCCTATTTGGTTCTTTTTTCTTAGTTTTAACACATTTTTCTTGAAAATTGAACTTAATTCTATGTATATTATATTTGGCCTAAAAATACTATATTATTATTGCCAGAAATTATAAAACCGGTTAAAAAATTAATAATAAATGGATGACTGATAAAATAACTATCGTTATTATGCTGAAATTGTATTTCTATTTAAATTGTATCGTTTTGAAGTTATCTGAATTATATCTGCGTATTTTTATAGTACGTTCATACACTTTAGTTGACCGGTAAATATCACTTAATGAGGTATAATGTTTTAAATAATTTCTCTATAATCGTTATTAGCACCTAATAGGATGAGTTTTAATGAAAATAAAACTAAACTAATCATTTCAGTTTGAACCTGAAAAATAGTAAAATATACGATTTAAAATTGTTTTTATCAATAACCGACATTATTTGATAGTGTATAAAAATTGATGATTTCACTATATACTAGCTAGTACATTAAATAACTGTTCACACTGTATACTACAAAATGAAATAATAATTTAATCACGTATTTTTATTTTTCAGCTATAAAAAGCCACCAAATTGAATAATATTAATGTTCACTAAACTATAATGTCCATATTACCACCCTCGCGTGGAAAAATTGTATTCGGACTGGGTATAGCATACTTATTGGTGCAGTTTATATATGTCAGCTATTACAACGAAACACGTCGCTTTGACAATCTGATTGCAACGACAACACAAGAATACTTTCCATCGACTAACCCTATGCCAATAACTCACCTCAACCTTTCCGGTATTCAGACTATGGTAAGTAAAAAAAAAAAAAAAATCCACGTATTAATATAAATACATTTCATTGTAATTTGTAAATGTCATTGTAATATTAATTCTTACTTTTTTTTTTTTTTTAACAATAAAATAACACACCTTGTGCGTTCTTATTATCACAAAAACTTATCGTGGATTTGTTTATTCTATGCCTGCGTTACAATGTGTATTTTCTTTGATAAAAAAAAAAAAAAAAAAAAAAACTTTTAATTACCTAATTAAAATATATTACATGCGTCTAGTTTCTATCCGTAAATATAAAAACTTCTCGCTTTACATTACATCATCGTGTTTACATAAGTATTATAATGTTTTTTTTAATTCAATGATCAAATTGACATTCGATAAAAAAAGTCTCAATATAGTAAGAAATAAACCATTTAATTTTCTGTGTCTAATTTTTATGATTTTCTTTAAAAATAATTTATATTCGGCAATTACATTCAGATTTAAAATATTGGATAAAAAAAAAAAACTAAATTTTTCATTATCAATGTTTGAATGCAAATTACAAAACCATTTTTATATACAAAGTTATTTTAAAAATGATAAAGGATCTTTAACATAAGCGTGAAAAAGAAAAAGTTATAGTTTTTTCTTCATCATCATTTAAAACAAATTAAACTTTGAAAATTCTTATTTATTATAAAAAAAAAATTGAGAGATGCCTTATTGTTAATATATAAGTAATAAAGTAATAGATATTTAAAAAAAAATAATAATTGCAGTAAATTTGAATGCTGTATTTATTAGAATATTTAAACAAAATGTTATAATTTTTTAACATACATAATATTTAGATTTTTATCTTATTTATTAGAAATATAATTTTTTAGAAAACTTATTAGTTTTTCTGTTGTGCGTTTAATTTTATATTTTATATTAGTCATAATAAATAGGTGACGTTAACAGTAAGTAGAAAACTCATTTATGAGTTACTACTTACTTTTGGTAAGCACATTTTGATAATATCGAAATATTTTATTCCACGTCTAAATATTTTTGATATTAAATGTGAACTGTACTCTAGAAATGAAAAAAAAAACCATGAAGATTCAGCATGTTTTTTTATACTTTGTTTAGAACATATTTTATCTGCAGACATTTGTTTATTTCAAATACAATAAAGACTGAGTTTGGTACTCTATCATACCATACACATATTACTCACTTTTTTCCTTTTGAATTATGTTACAGTTTTATAATAATGTTCAAACTAAAGAGACAAAAGACAAAAATCTTCTCGCGCCGTGTCCAAAAACTCCGTTTGCTTTAAGTAAGTTTATAATTATAAGCAGAGTGATGAATTTATTGATTTTACAACAATGTATGTGTGTTTTTTTTTATTTGCATCTTTAGGAGCAGTAAGCCAGTAAACATACTTACATTTTCAACTTAAATATCTTTTCTGGTAGTAAAGTGAATCTAGTTGGTAATTGTAGAGATAAAAACCAAAGAAGTTCGGTTTTTTCCTTGATCATTGGGAAAAAACAATAAATTTTTATGCAAAAACAGTTTTTAACAAAATCGATTTTCTTATTTTATTATAATTAAAAAAAAAGAAAATTCATAAATATAATAAATATAATAAATGTTTGTATTATAATTGTTTATATATGGTATAATTTTAAAATTAGTTAAAGTCTTTCTGGGCTATTTAAAATCATTTTAAATTTTCTATTTTTTTTTTTTTTTAAATTTCAAAAAAAAAAAAAAAAAAAAATTGTTTAAATAAAAAGTTTGAAAATGTTATTTATGACCCCTCTAATATTATTATTTAAGTTAAAAAATAAAATAAAATGTTGAGTGTAAAATATTATTATTTTTTTTATGTAATGGCTTAAAGTTCTAATTTTGAAAAATAATTATCGGATTTATAAAAATTATTTTGTAGTTAAAAATGTATAAAATTCTTGATTTTTATTGTTGAGAAATGAAAATTTAATAGATAATTTTCCTAATGTAGTTTTAATTTAAGTCCAAAAATGTATTAATCATTTAAGTAGATTTTTTTTTACGTAATGTTGTTAGTTGTTACCTAATATTTTATAAAATAAATAAATTTATTGAATTTTAATAAAGTGTAAGATTAGCTAAAAATTTTTATTTTTCAAAGAATCTAATTTTACATTCATTTAAAAACTTCAATCGTCGTCCATATTACTTTAAATTCTGAAATTTAAATTTATATTTTTAAAGATAATTGTAATCGTTTTATTATAATTTATATATTATTTAAACTTTTAGTTTATTTAAAATGATTTCAATAATTCAATTTAAAATATTTTCACTATTAGTAATTTATTTATTATAAATATTTATCAAATAATTTTTTTTTTATTATGGATATAAGAGTAATTTTAAAATTAGGACAATAAAAATTAGAAAATTTTTTAAGAACTTAAAATTAAATAAATGAATATATTTAATGTTTCCGGTATTATACATAGAATGCAGGTATATTTCAACAATCTAGCCAGCCTATGTATCTTATCTATTTTTACCTAAGTAACAAAACACTGATAAGCGTTCACAGTATAACAAATTTTTTTGGTTTTAATAAAATTATACTAATTAGTTATAAATACAAGTTTATAATTGACTTTGGTTACTTGATAATCCTTATAAGCCAAAGAATAAGATAATATAACTATAATTTAATTATTATCAACGTTTAATTCGTTTCCAAGAATAGGTCCACTAGTTGACTAATTGAAGCAATGATATATTCTAAAAATTTATTGTTGTCTACACGATACAATACAAAGGCAAGCAGTCGTTTAATCACGTCCCAGTTGTTTTGACATTAACAGTAGGACATTTCAAAAAATACATAGATAGTACATTACATTAGCTATCATTCAACAAATGTGTCATATAGCATTATTTATGGTTTTAGAAATCATAGTTCATATAGCTATTTTTAAAAATATTACAGTAAATTAATTTTACTCTTACTTTTCTAGTTAAAAGACATTTGAATATGTGCACCTAATTCAAACATTAGAACATACTGATACAAAATATTAAATTATTTATCATTCGACAGTTAAAAATCAGATATTTACACTATTTTAAATAGTGTTTAAAAGTAACTATATACGTAATATGTATAATACATTATTATTAAGAAAATATTTTAAAATTTGCTGAATTTCCTATAATTTGAGACATTTACATTTAAACATATTTTTTAATTAAGTATACAAATTTAGTAAAATCGTTTTTATTTTAAAATTTTTGTTAGACCTATAATATTAAAAATTATGATAAATAAAATATGATATAATATTTAATATTGCAATTCATATTATTTTTTTTCTAATTCATTTTTTTTCACTTTAAAATTGTATTTGTTCTTATAATACATAGATATTAAATAGTTATAAGTTATAACTTATGAATTAAAATATTTATAGTTTTAAGTTTAATTAAACATAAAATATACGAAAATAATGTACAAATACATTCAATTTATTTAACATTATTTATTATATATTTGTTGCTGTGGGAGAATTATAACAAAATTGTTTTAACAAAAGAATAATAATAGTATATTCAATGTAGGTAACATTTACGAATTACGAATACGTATTTATACGTATTTTTTTTATATTTATTATTTTGTACAATATCTGACGACGATTTTTATAATTTTTTTTGAATTTATATCAAAATATTATATTTTAGTAAAATATTATTAGAATTTTATATTTAATATAATTACGTTAAAACGTAATGGGTATTCGTAAAACAAAAATTGCATAATATTTCATTATTCTGGTATTAAGCATATTATGTGTACTTATCTTATCAGTTGTTTGTACATATGACATGCGATTCAAAGTATATTAAATATTAATATTGTCGTATGAGCTGAAAAAAATTAAAAATACTCGTAGTACGAAATTTTAAATAAGCAAAAATAATAATTCTTATAAAAGTAAATAATGTGATCACACAAAAATTAGCTAACATTAAAAACAAGTTAAATAATAAAAAAATCATGTATGTTTAATAAAAATACAATCAGTATAAAAGCTTCTATAAGTCCATAAAATTTCCATTAAGTCTAATAGTATTTAAATTATAAAAGTGTACAAAATGTAATTTTGTAATTAATAAATTATGCGATATTTAATTTTTAACCATACGTAAAAACTATAGTTAGAATAATAAAAGTTCTTTTAAGCATAATATTTTTATACGTTTCAAAATAAGTATTTTTTTAATTTGGTATTTAAAATATATAAGTAAAGTATTATATATCAAATAATATAAAGTAATAAGAAAAAAATAGTTACAATTAATTTTTAAGAATGTGGGTCTATGCTAATGGGTATATTATTATTATATTGTGTAAATTAGTATGTATATACTGGGTTCACTTTTAAAGGTTGAATAATTTTCCTTATACATTTTTTGAATTTCTAAATAATTTCTTTATAACTTTTTATATAAGATTTTAGAGACAGAGTTTGATAATAATTAGAAAGAATGGTGTGGGGAGAAAATGGCTTAAATTTGAAAAGAAAGTAATTAGTCATTACTTTTACGATTTGTAATTGATTAAAATTTTTACTATTTTTTCAAATACAAAATAATAGCACTTAGCTTAATACATTAACTTAACACTTTTACTTTTTTTACTAATAGTTAAGTTTTGCATTAAAAATTATAGATAATTGATAAAAGTTTATCTGTTGTTTTTTAACAATAATTTAATATTTTTTTGGAAATAATGGTATATAAAAATCGAATTTTGATCAATTAGGTAGAATTAACTATAACTTATAAGTATTTAAATTTCGAATGAATAAAATAGTTATACTGAAAAATCTATCAAAATATTGGTCTATTACTCATTTTAAACAATACTTTAAATGCTGTATTTACTTGTTCAAAATACGATTTGAAGATACAAAGAAAAAGATTTTTAGAAAATTATTGTACTTCTGAATATATAAAAAAAAAAATTTGCTAGGAATTAAAGAATAAACAACATGTATAATTTTAATGATTAAAAATATTAAAATATATTACAGTTTTTCAAAAATATTGTTTCTTATTAATTTAAATAAAGTTAAAGAAATATTTTAAAGATATTAATACTGTCGAACTACATAATATGTTCTTACCTTTTTACTATTGAAAGAATTATTCTGTACAAATATGATTATTTTTAAGGAAATTTAAGTATACTACCTTTTTTTTGTGAATAGGTTCATGATTTAAATGGATAATATCTTAAAATTAATTCACACATTTTTAAAAGCATTGTGAACACTTTACTTTTGACTCCTTTCCTCTCTCCCTGTGCACCCACCAAAAAATAATAAAATAAAAAATAAATTAAAAGGTCCAATCAAATCCAACTTTCTACCAGAAACTGCTCCCAAAGTTGAAAACCAATGCACTTTTCCCATTAAGTCAACTGTTAATATATATCATGAGTTTAATGGATAGAATAAAAACAATAATTTTAATTTAATAAATGCTATTATTTAAAATTAAACTATACTAATCAATATGTAAAGATATATATAGATTATAAAAATTATAATATTATTATATTATTGAAAAAATTGGCAATGTTTAGTGATTCGAAAATATCTCGCTAATCGGAGTTCATATAACCGAGGTAGAATGAAAGTAAATCAACTATCGTAAAGTGAATTAGGACCATTGAACTTTTCTGTATAAAATTATTGACAACCGATCGGTTGGCTGTTTCAATCAAAGTTCCATTGACAATAAATAATACTGTACAAAAACTTTACAATTTATATTTATACAATAGTTAAGTAATTTAGGCGAGTTATGCTATTTATTTTTTCGAAACTTTTATTAGTATCGAAAGTATACAACAGTAAACATCATATCTTATCTTCATTGTAAATATTTTTTGATTTGATAATGTTATACAAAATAAACTAACAACGATCTGTATACTATTGAACAATAGTATACAATTATATGATTCAAATGTATAACTAAAATTAAATACAATGATTTGTCAGTGATTTGAAAAATAAATCTTATTTGGAATAGTTTTTGTAGATATGCATAAATATTATAAGAATATTTGAAGTTACTGTAAAGATTTTATTTTCATATTGCTTAAAAATTAACCACATTTCATAATTACCTATTAATGATACAAACTATTAGTTTTTTTTCTCTTAATTTTTATAGATGGAACACTACGTTTGCTTGTTCCTGCTCAAGAAACGTTGGAAGAAGTGGCGCAGGAGTTATCCTGGCTAAGATTCTTAGAAGGCGGCCGTCAAATGCCTTTAGATTGCCAGGCAAGATATAAAATTGCAATTATAGTGCCTTATAGAAACCGACTAGCCAATCTCTGTTCATTCCTTTTAAATATGCATCCATTTTTAACAAAACAACAGTTGGATTATACTATATTTATCATAGAACAGTTCGGTAAGTTATTGATTTAATTAGGTATGATAAATACTTAAAAAAATGTATATTATCTAAATATTTAAGTCTATAAGCAAGTGTTTTGAATATTATTTTTAATTTACATTAAAATAATTTATTATTGCCAATTTTTTTTTTTTTTTTTTTTATCAAATAGACGATGGACTATTTAATCGAGCAATGTTAATGAATGTTGGGTTCACTGAAGCGTTAAAATTACACGATTTTGACTGTTTCTTTTTCCATGACGTAGACCTCATACCAGAGAATGACAGAAACATATACAGTTGTCCTGATCAACCAAGACATATGTCAGTAGCTATTGACAAGTTTAACTACAGGTAATTAGTTATACATCGTAATCATACGATTATTTAGTTGTTTTATCTCTATAAACTAGGAAAGGTACTATTAACAATGAGCATTCATTGTCTTGAAAAACATATTTATAAAAACATAATATTTTTACATCGCTTTCAAGTAATTTAAAGTTAATTATTCTTTATTTTCATTTAATTTTTATCTTCTATTCTAAAGCTTATCTAATAATTATTTTCACAATATATTAATCTTATCCTGATTTATATGGTTTATATTATCATGAAATAAAAAATGAATTTATTTGTAAAAAAATTTGGTTCAAAATATACTGTCTTAGATGATAGTATAACAACCATTTTTTTTTTTTTTTTTTTTAATAATGTTGAGATAATAAATATTTACTATTGAAATAATTATTAAGACATATCTGTATATATTAAATAGTATACTACATTACTGTCTTATTTTAAATAAATTATATAATTGGAAGATAACTTTATTTATTTATTATATTTATCATACAAAATGTATAAAGTTTATTGTAGGTTTTTTTTTTTTTAAATTAGTAATAATCGTTAGAGAAAGATTCTGCTTAAATAGATATATGATAAACGAAGAGAACAAATTTCCAAAACGTAGAGTTTTCAAAATTACTTATTAAAAAATATTAAAGTTATTTAGAATAACCTCGAATCTTTTTTATACGAATAATTAATGATCAATAATTATAGACCCAAGTTATTAAAGAAAACGATAAAACTCTGCTTTAATATTAATTTATATTATAAGCTTGTTGATTTTTTTATTAAAAAACATTCATTATTTTAAAAACTATTAATGTTTTTAAAAATGTTTTTGAACTCTGAACGGAACGATGAATGTATTGATTTTATAATGATGCATGTATTTTTAGTTATTCTAATGACAACATATATATTTTTATTTCGTGTTCCAATACAAGATATTAGTACTTAGATGTTAATTAATTGAATTTTAGAAAAGCGTAGTAAATTAGTTTAAGTAGTTAAAGTTTAAATGAGTGGAGTTGAGTGGCATATTATAACAATATGGGTTCATTGAAAAGTGCATTGTTTTTTTTTTTTTTTACAAATTAAATCATTAAAAAAAAGAAAAAACTTTAAAAACCTTAGAACTTTATTTACAGCAACTTAAAGTTAATACTGAACGAATTACATACTCAATTATATTTATTCTGTAGAATGTGCTATTATTGATTAACAGTCATTAACAGTATAAAATATTCTCGTAGATAATTCATTCATAGGCCAATTTCCAAGGTAACTATAATTTACCTTACTCTACGTAATACGTTCTGTTTATTATAAATAATAAATAAGTCATATGAATAAATGTTTTTAATGTTAATGATATTATGGTAGAATGAGCATTAGCTAGGTAATCATAATATTTCCTTCATTTCGACACAGATTAGAAAAATTTTTATTCCATAGTTAAATTACATTTTTAAACAACAATATTGCAACGAAAAAATAAAATTAAGCTTAGTTTTGAATACTGTTTAAAAGACATTTTTTTTAAATATTTAAGTTTTCTTAAAACTAATTAATGGGAAAAAAGATTTAAATGTGTTATTTTAAAACAATAAATATAATACAGTATGAATAACTTTGTACTTAAATCTAAAAAAAAAAATGATTTTAAAAATTGTATTACAATCTGCAGTTATTTAGACGAGTATAAAGAATGATAAAATTACAATATTCAATTAATTTCAGTATACCTATAATAACTAATAATTGTATTTACAATTTATGAAATTAAATGTGGTATTAATTTGGATATTTTTGTATTTAATTTTAATGGTAATTACTATACTGGAACATTACTTTTTTATAATAATATTTAATTTTTAATTGATTGATAAAATATTATTTGTATCAGATACTTAAATAAATAAAACTTATCAGAGTAAAATCAATAAATTCCTTACTAAGGTCAAAATTCAAGAATAATACAATTAAAAATTCATAATTAACAATTATTTTACTTACATTTTATCTAGAAACAGCGTTTTGTAAAAAGAAGTAGGATAATAAAATTGATCATTTGTAAGCTTTAAAATGGATTTAAATATGTTTTTAGATTTCTTGTTTCTTTGTTTTTTTTGATACTTAAGACTGACAACAATTGTATAGCTGATGGAAAAAAAATATTTTCGTTGACTACAGATTGTTGATTGGAAACATGTGTGACACGTACCAGGAGTGTCTACTATCTATTTTAATTTAAAATAAATATTTTATATCACTTAAATTTTTAATTTTTTTCTTATTTAAATGACAAATTTTATTCTTAATTTATTATTTTAAAGCAGAATATTTTTTGGAATATTTTTATATGTAAAAATTTAATTTTGGACGACTAATATATGAGTTATAACTTATAAGTATTTTAAAGTTTTTTATGAGCAGAGTAGAGTGGTTGTTTTTGTAACAACTTGAAATTATGTAAAAGAAATATTTTTAAAAATGTACCAAAGTGTTTTCTGAAATAATGAGTTTCTTGCATTAGATGAATTATCTCGTAAAGTCATACAAATTATTATCATTTCTACTGTACATTCAGTTGGCCTGTACGTTTCGCTTATTTTGAACTCATTTCAAACAATCACTGTTAAATCTCTAATGTTATAAATTAGCGTTAGTCTAATTTTTAATACATAAATAAATTATATACACATTTAAAAAAAATTAAATTACTTATATAATAAATTAAGTCTTCTAGCATATAATTATTATTATTGAATATATATTATAATATATAATATATTATATATAATATATATTATAATATATAATATATTATATATAATATATATTATTTATATATAATTAAATAATAATAATATTATACATAGATTTTTAATTTGTTTTTTTACTATGACAACAAAAAATTTAAACAATTAATTAGTAAGTTAGCATACTTCTTTAATAATTTTTAGTAATTTAGCATTTACTTTTTCTAATAATTTTTTTTTTGACATTAATTCTCCTGGCAATTACTAACAATTTAAAAAAAAAATTGAGCCAAATCAGCCCAGCCGTTCTCAATTAATGAATTATTATACATTTTTGGCTCCATTGTTATATATATATATATATATATAGATATGTACTAAAAAAATAAATAACATAACACATTTTTTATGTCACAACTTTCAAGATATATTTTAGTTATTTTGACGTATTGTAAAAAAATATTCAAATTAGGCATAATAATTATTTCCATGGTAACCATAACTTGCTAAATTTCTTGATTTTTAATTTCTTTAATTAAAAATAATTATTATTTATTTAAAAAAAAAAATAAACTAAATATTTTTATTACTCGAATTCAAAACTTTCTTATCTAATATCGTTGAAAACTTCATTAAGTAACACTTGTTTTTATAGTTTTGAATAAATATAAACATTTTTATAATCATTAAGCCAATTATAGGAAAAAAACACGATTCAATTTAATTACTTAAAGGCCCTTACACACATTATAGATGTATAGTTCGCGCGGAAACGTGATTTTAAATCGTTTTGAATTTTATTTGTGAGAACATAAAGCTTAGATAGTAAAATATTTTACGCGATTAAAATTCAAACCAAACCATCATTACCTCGTGGTGTTCACGCGCGAACATTCGCCCAGTATGAAAATACCCAGTCAAAAAAATGTGTTAGTTTAACGGTCTCGGGCAAATGTTCGCCTAAAATATTAAGCATGCGCGATCAGTCGTGAGCGATAGTGAATTTTATTTGCTCGTTTTACATAATGTGAATGGTCTAATCTAATACAAGCTGTTTAATTTTAAGCGAACGTTCGCAGTAAATTATAATTGCGTCCGCAAGTGAATTATTCATCTATTATGTAATAGCCTTAATTCTCCTTAATAATAATCCATTATTTTAATAACTATGAATATCTTACTTTGATATTAATTTTAATACATAAATACTATTACTAAGCTTATTAATAAACAACTAATATCATTAGCTAGTAAAATATGAAAATTTAGTTTTTTATAGTCAACAATCACTAGTATTATTTTTTTCATATATAATATTTGAATTTAATTTTATAACATATTAAAAACAATGATTTTATATTTGGGCCATGAAAATCTTTAATTATGACTTCGGTAAGTTAATTAGCTTAAAATTAAAAAAATAAATATATTGTTTACATTTTTCTTAATTTATTCAATAAACAGATTTATTTTTAAAAAGTATAAATAATTGAAAAGTCTTATGTTACTCTTTAGCTTTTGAATGCAAATTAGGCAAACAATTGTAGTACATATTTTTAGTTGTATTTTTTTCATTTTTTTAGTAGTTTTAAGAATAATTTCGAGAGTTGTAAAGTTTATCATAAACCTGTATCGAACAAAATATAACCTCATACAATTGTGTAATAGTTTTTATGAAATAATTTAAACAGCTAGTAATAATTAAGCTATTTATAAATTATTATGCTTCAAAATCAACTCCAAATAATCCAAACTTATGTTAAATAATAACTTATAAGATAAACTAAAGTATATTAAATAAAATTATCTTGATAAACATAATGTATTATAATAAAAATGAACAAGTAATTAACGGCTACTATACCATAAGTGTTAATTGTATATTGTCATTGAGTGATTGATTGCAATGCATTTGTTAAATTTGAATTTATTGATAAGTTATTGAATATCATAAACAATTTTGAGCGATAACAGTTTGTCAGCCTATGTTACTGAGTTTATTTTATGATATAATAATTATATTACTACTATAGCAGTATATTTTATTATTAAAAATGAGGTAGAACAAATTAATTTTTGTTAAAAATATTGTACTTTTTGTATTAATAATATTTTATCATTTTAATAGTACCTACATAGTTATTTTATATAATATTTTTATTAACTATTGAATCAATACTGAATTATCGAGGAACGGTGTGAACAAGTTCATAAGATAAAAAGCAGTAGTATAAAACTAATTTAAGTGTTTGAAAATAATTGTGTACGTAAAATATGATAATATATTTGTGTAGACGTTTCAAGTCCCAAACGAATAATTCTTTTGAATTACTGAATTCTTTGTCCTTTGTTTATATTTAACTTCATATAAATTTGAACTTTAAATGCTAATAAAAAAAATTGTGTAACTTATCTTCAATATTTTGAAATAGCTTTTATAAAAACTTCTGCAGATTCTTGTATTAAGTTTTCAAGCGTTTTGGTTGGGTGAACATTTTCGTATTATATTTATTAAAAATATCAAAGTTTTTATATATAACTTAAAAGTGGTCAAAATATTTTGAAAATTATACTTTGTGAAAATTTTAAATTTCTAAGATTATTCACTTTTGAACTATAACAAAATATAATAAAGACAACAATTTTGTCAAAAAAACTTTTATAGCGTATATATTTCCGTTTTTCTTAATTTTTTTCTCCCGATTATTAAGAAAACAACTGTGAACTTTTTTTTTATTTGGACTAATTACATCCAATTTGCTATCAGAAACCATCACTAAAATTAAAAATCAAAGCATCCTTATTATCTCTAAAGGTGACGATAAACACATACAAAAACATATCATTGTAAAATCATAACATTCATTCACTCTTCTCAAAATCTAAAATCAATTATTATTATTATTATTATTATTATTACTACTATTATTTATTGTACCTATATATATTGTCAAAAAATTATTAATACGTACGAATATGTCATATTTGATTAATTTAAGTGAGTAATATGAAATTAAGTATTAAAAATTTTCAACATTATTATTCTTATATTAAATACAAAGATAAAGTTTTATTTATAAATTTTTATAAGTATTTTTAAAATTACAATTTCCATAGTATAAACTTTCTATGATTTAAAGAATATTATATTAAATTACTATTATAAAAATAATAAACGAATGGAATTGGAATAATAATGATTTCGACCATATGTGTTCAGACTGCCATATGTGGACTTATTTGGCGGAGTGATAGGCATGAGCCGAAAACATTTCCAGCTGGTCAACGGATTCAGTAACATGTTCTGGGGATGGGGTGGCGAAGACGACGATATGGCATCTCGGGTCAAGGCACACGACCTAAACATAACCAGATACCATCCGGACGTGGCTCGTTATCATATGTTAACACATGCCCAGCAAAAGGCTAACCCAAAAAGGTATAATCATTTAATTTTTTATTAAAATTTTAAAATTATTATTATTATTATTATTGTACATAAGAATTTATATTAATTAATCATATAGGTATGTATCTTAGAAATTCAAACCTACGCATCTATGTTATAGTTGTATAATATAAGTTTTGGTTAGTATGCAATAAGGTTTTTACCGAATATGACGTTCATCATTTTAGGAAGAATATCATAATATAAAGCCTATTAAAATGTTTATTTTTATAAAAAATAATATCGAACCTAGGTCGTTGTTTAGATCCGCATCGCATAATTTGCACAATCAGTAATTTAGTTAATATTTTAATATTGTATCGTTTTCATCTCTTTTAGATTAGTTCTAATCATGTTATTTAAATTTTGATGTGATATGTAAGGTGTTATTATTGTAATTCACGATTTATTTCCTTATCCAATAATATTAGCAATAATTTTTGAACTGATCAAAAAAGTCGTTAGAATATAAATAAAAGATAATAATATAGTTTAATGTTTAAACGTTAAAATAAATTTTCACTAGGTATGAAATTTATAAAGCTCATATTTTGTAAGAAGTTATTAAAAAAAAAAACAAATAAATAATGAAAATAAGTCTTTGGCAATACTTTCTGAAATATTTTTAACTTCGAAAAAATTCTATTGCAACAAAACCTGTTGTACAATAATATTCATCATTGGTCTTGTTTAATTAAGACAGGCTGTTGGAATATTAATTTTTTTTTTAATTTAATTTTAATAATTTATTATTGCCAGATTATTTATAAATTTGCTGATTTTTCTGAAAAAAAAATGTTCATGGTTTAAGCGATATAATATATTTATTTTAAATTTTATATAGTCTCACCATCTAGATAATTCAAAATAAAAAACAAAGTACCTATAAAAATTAAATTCCACAATTTTCTCCCAAAAAATGTATATGAATAAGTTTTAGTACTATATAAAGACTTCAAATACAATAAACATAATCTATAAGGGAAGAAGCATTTTCAATCGAAAATAAAACACGTCACTTCCATTACCATTACTCATCCACGGTCAGTGAAAGTGTAATATTCTAATTTTTAACTACTGAAATTATTAATATTATACAATATTGTACTACACGTTTCATTTCCTGTGAAACGTTTTGTTTTTATTTAGTACCTGCCTACATCAACAATACGCTCTCTCATATAACTGTCATGTGCAACCAATTATTAATTAGCCAACCTTATTTAGATTAAGTGACTGTTGTACAGATGACGAATATTCATATTAAATTTTGTACAAGCTATCCAGTGTACAGCAAAATACCAAAATGTTCACTGATTGTAGTGGTCTAACAGGAACTGTAATTTATAACCTATTAATAATTGGTTATTTAACTGTTTTTGAAACTTTTATGACGAATTAGATTATAATGGTCTTGATGCGAGAGTATGTTAAGGCCGGTAAGGGTAACATATGATATTATACAACGCTTATTATAATATTACCATTACATTAAATTTATTACACCTGATAAATCGGTCAATTCACAGTAATGAGGACTTAAACGCATTAGGTACCATTACTATACGCGATGGCTGGTTTGATAATAAAATATTTGTGTACCATATAATGTTAAATATTAAATTCGTGATGCTCGTTGAGGATTTAATATTATTAAACAACTGATTTTAAATATGTCTACGCATTACATAGGTATTCCCCCTCGCCAACATAATATATTTGAACCTTAGAATAATAAAGAAAGGAAGACTTTTCAGTATTAAATACAATTTGTTTATTTTCTTAGTTTAATTAAATTTATTGAGTCTAAAAATGAAATTGTCACAATTCATGACTTATAAGTCATTAATGTTTGTATTGTGTGCAAAATTATTTTATCTTGAAAATAAAAACTTTATAATTGAAAGTTTGAATTAAAAATGTGTAAGATTAAACACGAGTATAACATTTCAATTACATAATGTTTGAGTATAAAAATAATAAAACTATGAAAAAATATGTGAAAATAAAACCTATAAATACTTCTAGAACAGACAACGACCAGTGATTCACGTTAACATAATTATTAATTATTCTTTACTTAGTTTGTACTAATAAAATTTATATGCGTCTCCGGGTTTGATGGTAATGATAACAGTCACGGTACATTACCCAGTACCCGTATAGGTTTTATTTAAAGTTTTTTTTAATGATTTTAACCACTACGGTAGCAGTAGTAGTAGTAGTAGTAGTAATAATAATAATAATAATAATAATAAAAGTATATATATTCACTACAGCGTATGTGTATGTTTTGTGCTTGTAAAACAGGTACGAAAAATTGTACAGCGGCCGGAAACGATTCAAAACGGACGGACTTAACAATCTCGAGTACCGGATAAAAGCCTTGAAACAATTGCCGCTGTTCACATATTTGCTGGTTGACTTGACCAGTAGGCGCAGTTGATGGACGATGATTATGTGGCACTGGCCGTTTGGTCAGCAAGCCACTTAAAAAAAGCCATTTATAGTCTCTCTCTCTCACTCTATTTCTCTCTTTATTCTCTATTTCTCTTTCTCTCTCTCTTCTTCCCTATCTTTGTTATCTGAGAGAGTTTCATGGCATAATATTATTTTTATTTTTATTTTCAATCGATTTAAAATGTAAATTAAGCATAGTTACGTACTATTTATTTATTATGTAAACATTTTTTTTTTATATATAACATATTATATTAAATTGAATTATCAGGGTTATTGTTCCCTGATTTGGTGCTAAACTAAAAAATGTATTTTTGCATATGCACTTGAATTATATGTGTATTAAATGAAGAGTTATATACGACCGAATAGATATCGTCAGACTCAAGAGGGAAAAATCAAAATCTGAGGTTCTTATTATTATTGTTATTGTTACTAGTATCATCATCCCTCGATTAGCAGACAATTGGTGAGGACATTAAAATAATATGGAACAACAAATGTACGTTTTAGCGTGAAAAAAATTAAACCTATCCACCGGACAAACATAGAACACGGCGATCGAAATTGAACAGACGTTTGAATAAAATATAATACTTGCAGTATTACGGTTTCTCTGCAGTGTCTGGACGCAGCGTCTAGCATTGATTACAGGAAAACGTACCATTACCTAAGTGGTATTTCATAACGATCTCATCGTCGTCTGTTTATTGTTTTTGTTAGAAACTTCAACCAGATTTTATAAAATTTAATGACATATTTATGATTACCCCAATGCAGTTTTAACGATTACAATGACTTATTAAATTTATTAAGAACGATCTGTTAACATAATATTTGTAGTTTTTCAATGAATCGGTCACTTTTTCTCTCGTTATCGTCAAACATTTCATCATGATTATAAATTATATGTCATATAATATTACATTATTTCGTGATTTATATTTACTGATATCAAATATTTTCTAGTACCTATTAAATATGTATAGATATTTTAACAATATTTGTTTTTTCTAAAAGATTTTTCTCTCCTTTCATATTCGTATTGTAGATAATAATACACCAATTAATGAATTTTCAAACATTACACACCTTGTATATAAAATAAATCGTAGGTGTGAAGTTCATTTTTATTTCACTATTCTTATTTTCATGTATACATAACAATACTTTTTACATATTTCATGATTTTGGGATCAACGAATAGGCAATAAGTATTAGGGTAGGCCTATTTTTGGGTCAATATGACTCTGTGATATTTATTAAATATATATTATAATATTATACACATTCTCTATCTTTTTATTGATTCAGAAACCGGGCAATTTTATCATTTAAAGACCCGCCGTATCTGTTATTTAAGATAAACGAGACTTGTAGTTTTATAAATTCATCAATTTAAAATATAACTATGATAATATAAAAATTAATATATATATATATATTATGTATGTATATCTATATAGTAATTTATTATTGGGTACGTTCACAGTTAGGTGTGTGCCTATTTTTTTTATTGATGTGTTTTTTTGAATATATTTTTATTAGTTTATATATGTATTTATATGTGTTATATTATAAAGGATATTACTTTTTAAAAAAAATCAACATTTTGTCATTCTATAATATATTTAAATTATATAATACCCAACGAATTTTGCGTCCAAAACCCTCATATTTTGAGGCTATAAAATCTTATTAATTATATTCAAGCAATTGTTATATTTACCTGTAAAAATCACTAAAATTCTACAACTATAACACAATATTAAATCTTCAATATTTCGTTAATTTAATAAAATAATATACCTAAAGAATAATACATAGAAATTCAATGCAATTATATTTTAAAATCGAATTCAAATTCACGAGTATTCTTTTTATTATTTACGATAATTTTTATTATGATAAAATATTTTTAAACGTATTTTAAAACTATAAAAAAGTATATTGTAAAAATTTGTATGAATATGTTGTATTTCTGAATATAGAATCAGTGCATTGTAATATTGTTAGTAATTTAATTATTTCATAAATCATAGGTAAAAATCTGCACCTGAAGATTAGTTATTATTGTATACTTAAAAATATAATAGGTAAAATTATCAAGATTTTAATTGACGGTTTGAGTAGAAAAGGTGCTAATTAATTAAAATTATGACGGATAATTTAAATTTTTGAACACATGCAATAGTATATAACGCAATATTTTATCTCAATAATTCTATAAACTTAAATTTTGTCATTCTAATAATACGTTCAATATTATTTAATTATCTTACTATTATAGGGCCAATACAAAAAAAAAAAATAATATATCACATTTATAAAAATACGTTTGAAAATATTTTTAAAATACCTATTTATTACAGCAATGTAACATTAAAAATTATTAAAAAAATATATAAATAAATAATTATAAGTAAAATAAATTGTCCACAGACTTAAATTGTAATATATTTAATTTGTTATTACTCATTGTATTTTAATTGTATTAGATATATTTTACCACATAGAGTGTACAGACTGACATCAATGTGTATTTTTTTTTTTCAATAATATTTGTTAAAAGTTAATTTTTAATGATGTTTATAAAATAATTTAGATACTTATACCCTTGCCATATATGTTGTTGTATAGTTTATTTCTTTCGTAGTTCACATTATAGTAAAATTATTTATATTATTTTACTACTTCGTTACTATTGTTGATAGGTTATTATATTATGTTAAATTTAAACATTTTTTTTTTTTTTTTAAGCTAAGTTTAATACCTATTTTTTTTTATTGTTATATTGTAATATGTAGGTATATTTTTTTTTTTTTCGTAATTTTTGAATTCATTTAGGTTATATAACTTCTATATTAAGACTCTTTAAACTATTTAATAAATTATTTCATTTTAAAATTTCAATACCTGGGTAGCATAAATGTTATATGACTATAGTACTAATACATATAATATTATATATTACCTTTTTAACTATGTTGTTTGTTAAGATCAATTTTAAAGGTACATATTATATACTCACTCTATCATGTCATGCATAATTTAAAATGGCGTATAAAAATCTTAGTGTTATAATTGGTTGAAAGATTTGTTTATCTTAGGTATCATGTTTCCAAGTATTATTGTGAAGTTGAATATTATTCAACTTATCTTCGTGTAGTTATAACGGTAAAATGGTTATCGATGATTACCAATGTTAACATGTTTAAAACATGAGTGAGTGATAAGTGGTTTGGTTCAAACCAGGTTATAAAATAATATTTCTATGTGTATAAAGTTAATGTAAAAATATTAACAATTAATAATTATGAACAACGCAATAGAGTACAAAAATAGCTTAAAATTCAAGTATGGTTATCTATTCAAGATATACTAGATACAATATTATACATATTACATAAGTAATTATAAAACAATTTTACTATCCTTACTATCAAATAATAATATTAAATTGATTGATAATTCATTGTATAATTGAATAGTTAATTGATTTTAAATTTAACAAGAGGTTTACTTTAAATTAAAATACAATTGAACACTATATTATATATGATATATATATCATTAATTGAATAATATATAAACAATTCCAGACTAAACATTTAAACAAAACAACAAAACTATTTATCAATTTTAACGCGTTAAATCTAATTTTGAATGTTTGATAAACAATCTAATAAAAAAAAATGTACGTACTACAATTTTATGTTAAACTTCTATTTTTATAACGTTTTAACGAAATGTATACGGTTTTAAATTAAAAATTCTTTTATAATCTATGAAACAAATATAATTTACTTCTATTACTTATTAGAATAATAAGTATTGATACTAGAATAAGTAATAATGTATTAATATTTCATTAAAAACTCAGTATTTATTTAAATACTACATCAGCATACCTATGATAACACGGCGTTATAGTTATATAATATGCTTTTTTGATATTAGCCCATGCTACGGTCATTTACATTTGTATTTTATTGATGAGGTATCTATTTTTAAAACCTGCAAAAACCCCAATTTTTCAAAAAAAATTTGTGTATCTTATCTAACAAATACTCTATTAAATAGTATATAGAAATAAACATAAAAAGTAAAAATTGCACATAACTGATACAATTTTATCAGTGGTGAAATTGTGACTGGTTTCAAAATCATGTATCAGACAAAATGTATTATTTTAAATGAAGCTATATTTGCCACTTATAATAAGATAAATTTGATTTCAAAGCTAATTTTATGTAAAATATCCATAATACAATTTAAAAAACAACAATAAATCAAAATTTATGACAGAGATCGTTCAAAATCGTTCAAGTTATAAGGTATAAATAAATCACTAATGGTATTGTGGGGTTTTTATTTTGAAAAAAAAAAATTAATTGCTCAAATAAATACTAATAAAAAAATAAATATTGGTATCTTATTTTAAGACAAATGTCAATGAACGCAACAGCTATAACATTTATAGAACAAATTAAGAATAATTATACAATACATATTGTATTAATGTAGAATGACGCCTATTTAGGAAAATATATTATAAAAAGAGAAAAAGTTAATAAACGTAAAAAATAAAATTAATTTTAGATATTGTGCATTAGTAAGTAAATCCATCTTAAGTATCAAAATACAAAAATCAAATTTAAATTATATAGTTGTATTCTTTTTAGGTGTCGAAGACAACTGTAAGATTACCAGAACAAGCGAACTATATTATACACATGTCAATTCATTAATCATGCTAACCCTCATTTTCCATTGAATGATATATTTATTCAAATTATAATTTTTAAAATTTTTGAATACACTTAAAGAACATTATATTTACAAATTCTCAAGATATTTGTTCAGTGGTCGCCGCTTAATGTAATCACTTTGGTACGGAACATAATTAATAACATAATCCGATTGAAAACATTAAACGAAAATTAAAAAAGTTATATAAAATTATAAAATCTACGTTAAATACATAGTTAATAAAAATATAATTTTTTTTATTTATTATTATTTATTTATAAATTAAGTACATATGTAGGTATAAAATGGAAATTTAAAATTAAATGTAAATAAATAAATATGTGTAATATGTATGTAGTATGTACACCATTAACTTGAACAATATTTTTTTATCGATGTCTGTTTTTTTTACCGTTAAAATTTCATTGATAAAATGTTCGTATTTGTACTGTCTTAATTCTGTACAAACGAAAGGTACAGAAATATAAATGTGATATCAATGTGTATACTGTATAGACATTTATATTTTTATTACAATTTTTATCTTTATTATGAGACATTCAAAGACAAATTTGATTGTATGTTACAAAATTATGATTTTATGAACTCAAATTGTTTATATTATGTGGCGTATTGATTACAAAAACCGACATAATTTACACATCCGGCCTGTACTTACACTTTTCGATAACAATAAACGATTGATAATATTAACCGTGATTATAATAAGCGGCGACCACTGTATTATTAAGTATGTTCTGGGAAAATATAACTTCTATTGCTTAAATGAAAACTCTACTTTTTTTATTGAAAATTCTGAAATTGATGATATATTTGAAAACTTTGATGTACCAAATTTTAAATTTAAACAGAAAGTTTTTAAGTTATTGAAATATTTAAACTAATAAAAAAAATAATAGCCCTTGAAAACGGTTTTAGAAAGTTATAAAATAAATAGAATATTGGATCCAATTTTTATATTATACTTAAATCATTTTTAAAAATTATAAATATTAGTGAATCAGTATTGATTTCTGAGATTTTCAACTCTTCATAGAAATCATGATATACGTATCTTTTAAACCAATTATAGTGAATTAATACCTACACAAAATTAAATAATTCCAAAACTGATCGTTAGAAAATTACATCAACATTTAAAAAATAATTATCTGGTAAATAATTTACAGTAGAAAAAAGTATTCGTTTAAAAATCAAAAATTAATATTTGTACTATGTACTTACTCATTATGTAGTAAAAATATATCAAACATTTAAAAATACGGCCTTTTAGTGTATTTAAAAGTTCTAAAAATTAGAGTTTGAATTAGCCCCAGATCCATGGTATTTATTAAGGAGCTTTTTATATCATGAATGTTATTATAAAATATAATAAGTTTGTTGAACTATGTAGTTGGTCGCTTATTCATTTATATTAAAAATAAATAATATTTCAACTTTCAAATAACAATATAAAATATAAAAAATATTGTTAAATTAAAAAAAAAAAAAAAACACTATTTATTTAAATTATACTAAATTTAAAATATTAAAAATAATAAAATATATAAATACCTACATAAATACTTTTATAAACATACAAATTAAAAATTGTG